TGTACTTAGCTGGATGTATTTAAACTGGTTGAAGCCATAGAACCATAAAATTACAGCACAAAAAGAGACTATTTGGCCCATTGTGTCTGTACCAGCTGAATAAACTAGCCATCCATTCAATCCCATTTCCCAGCCCCTAGTCTGTAGCTGTGCAGGTTCCAGTACTTCAGGAGCAGAGAGTAGTGAATCTGTGGAATCCTTTCCCACAGGCTGTTGGGATTGGGTCATTAAACATGCACACACTGAAATAGCCTTTTAATCAGTGAGTGAATCAAGGATTATGGGGTAAAGGTAGGAAAGTATAGTTCAGGATTATCAATCAGTGATGATCTCATTGAATGGCCGAGCAGACTCGATGGGCTGAATGGCCTAGTTTCTACATCTTATACTTATCAGTATTATGAGGGAAAGAGGGCTAACTTTCCATTCACTGCCACTAGTGTGTAGCTGTGGGACTGAGGAGGAAGAGAAAGGGTCTGGTCTGCTGTGAATTTGTCAACATACTAAGATAGGTCAAGGAACTTTAGTGCAATTGGCTGTTAGTTGGTATGTGTGGTCTGAAACGCTACAAGTCTGAGGTGTTGTACCAGGCAACGATAGAAAAGCTTCTTCTCAAACATGTGCCTGCCCCAAAGTTTGAGAGAGGGAGGTGATGGCCTTGTGGTACTATCACTGACTTATTCCAGAGACCCAGTGTTCAAATCCTGCCACAGCAGATGGTGGAATTTGAATTCAATAAAAACCTGGAATTAAGAGTCTAATGATGACCATGAACCCATTGTCGATTGTTGGGAAAAACCCATCTGGTTCATTAATGTCCCTTTAGGGTAGGAAACTGTCATTCCTTATCTGGTCTGGCCTACATGTGACTCCTGACCCACAGCAATGTGGTTGGCTCTGGGTGGGGCAATAAATGCTAGCCTAGCCAGCAATGCCCTCATCCTGTGAACGAATAAAGAAAAAAGTAACCCACTTGAGGGATTTTATTTTCCAGTTCAAAAGAATGGATTCCTTACAAAAAAACTCTTGCTTGTATCTCCCTACTGCATTGAATCATAAAATCCCTACAGCGTAGAAGCAGGCCATTCAGCCCATCGAGTCTACACCACCCTTCTGAAGAGCATCCCTCCCAGACCCACCCCCTACCCTATCCCTGCATTTCCCACCCTAGACACTATGGGCAATTTAGCATGACCAATCCATCTAACCTGCACACCTTTGGTCTGTGGGAGGAAACCCACGCAGACACCAGGAGAATGTGCAAACTCCACACAGACAGTTGCCTGAGGCTGGAATTGAACCTGGGTCCCTGGGGCAGCAGTGCTAACCACTGAGCTATCGTGCCGCATTGGAGTGTTTTACTTTCCAAAGGTTGTTTTTGTGTTTTATTGTCACTGGCTGGGAGACTTCAGGAGACAGGAAGGTTAATCAGGGAGAGAAAAGGCCACTCGACCTGAAACGTTAACTTTGATTTCTCTCCACAGAGGCTGCCAGACCTGCTGGGCTTTTCCAGCAACTTCTGTTTTTGTTCCTGATTTACAGCATCTGCGGTTCTTTCAGTTTTTATTAGGGAAGAATACTCCCAGTTTTCTCCATTGTAGTGAGCTGTTTGTCTGACCTGCCATTTCTCTTTCTTATCCAGTGTCTGTCCAGGTGGAACTTGTGATGGATGTACATTCCTTTTCCTGTGGGAAACTGTCCAGGCCTGTCCACTCTGCACAGCAGCTGACTACCACGCAATCGAGGGAGCTTGCAAGGGTGGCCTTCAGGTATACTGCAGGAGAGAGCTGGCTGAATGCTACATTATTGAAATGAATCAAATTTTTACTTTAGCAACATTGAATGTTCGTAAGGCAATGGTCATTTCTCAAATATTTATTTATTATTTAATGAACGAGCACCATTAGATTTAATGAGTAAAGTACAGGATTAGAACCTTAGTGCAGAGTCTGACTGATAGGAGCTACAGTGACATTTGTGGCAGAATCAACTGAGAATTCTGGCAGAGCCCATCTCAACATTGGGAGCATCTCGCTCCAACTTTTATGCTTATGCCAGTCAGTGTGGTGAGGCAGCGTGATTTGCCAATCGATAAGGACTAGTGCATTTTAAACACTTCATTAATATTTAGCTTCTCATCTTACCAAATACGCCGTACAGACTAAACTCTTAGAGTTCTCAACATGGAAATCAGAGCAGTGTGCTCTACAAGCATTGGAGACACACCCACTCCATATCCACGGGCATTGGCATTTGACATGTGCCAGTCTCCATGACCCTCATGTCACTTCTCCAACTCACTTACAGGTCACTGTGCTCTTCAGTGCTGTCCCTTGGGCTGCCCTGGTTACTCCAATTGTAATGCTGCAGCAAGGACACTGTGTGTTCAGGGACACCCCTCCACCCCAGCTCAGGGACTGCACCAGGCTGGATCTCTGGGCTTTTCACTCCTTGTCAGAGCACTCACTCACACTGAACCTACCCCAATGCTCACACTGTCCCTGCCTGGCCTTGCTGTTTAGTGCAGACACAGAGTCAGGAAGCATGTCGTGGTTGTCATTAGTCCTCTGTTAAGTCAAGGGTGATAGCCTTTGCTCAGGGAGTCCTGGCACAGAAGGTCAAGGGCAGCCCCTGATACCAGTCCCAAGGTTTAGACACAGGCAGTAGCATGGAGCGGTAGAGTCAGGAAGCTGTCCAACGTAAGGAGTGAGGAGACAAATATCTCACAGCCCACTTCCTGCCTTGTGTGCTCTTGGGGGCTGTTTTCCTTCTGGATGGCGAGAGGGACAGGTATTCGGGGAGATGAAAGTGGGTGGCACAGCTGTTACTGGTGCAAGTGAGTAGGTGTCCTGAGTGAGTGAGTGGGCAGTGCAGAGCACATGCAGGGTTTAATGGTATCAGGGGTTGGGGTGGGTGAGGGTGAGCAAGGGGAAAGTGTCACAGGAAATAGTGAGAGTGAGAAAGCATATGCCTTGGTGGGATGTGGGTGCAGCAGTGGAGACAGAATGAGTGTGAGGTAACAGAGAGAACATGGTAACGTGGACCTTTTTCCTACAGTGCTGGGCATTCCTCTACACCCTGAGACTGCATTGATCCAGGTGGAAACCAAGGCCCAGACTGGGTATTGACTGGTGTCGCGGCCTCCTCTGCTGATCCTGGGGGAGAGGATGTCCCTTCTGTACAAAGCCCCTCCACCAAAAAGTCCAGGCCCAGCCCACAAAGCAGGGCGCAGTTACCCCCGTCTGCTGTTTCCATACCAACTGTCAGGAACTATGCAGGGCAGCTTTAGGGGGCCAGTGGTAATGTTACTAGGTTAGTTACCCAGAGGCCCAGGCCAAGGGTCTGCACTGTTAGGTTTAGGTCCCACCATGGCCCCTGGTGGTACTTAAATCCAACTCATCATCAGTGATGACGCCCTCATTGATTGTTGTGAAAACCCACTGGGTTTGCTGACGTCCTTTAGCGAAGGTGATCTCCTGTTCCTACCTGGTCTGTCTACATGTGACTCCAGACCCACTGCAACGTGGTTGACTCTTAACTACCCTCTGAAATGGCTGAACAAGCATGTTTCAAGGGCAGTTAGGGATGGGAAACATATGCTGGACTTACCAGCAACATGCACGTTCCACGAGAAAGTAAAGACCAAACGAACACGAGGAGGGAAGGATTCGATGTAGTCGACCTCAAAATCTGTGCTCTTTCAGACAGAGTTGAGGGAATTTGTATGTACTATCTGAGCCTCACTGTGAGTAATATGTGTTCTCTTTACAAATCAACTGTTAAACCAACATTACACCCAAAGTCAATTCATTAAATGCCTACTCAATGAAATAATGCAAGCCTTATGTGGTCTTGGGGATTAATTTAACACTACAGTCCCTGCCTTAGCGATAATATTTTACATATAATTATTCCTGAGCCCTTGTCATGCAACCTTTGCAAAAATTATAAGGCCATAAGAGATAGGAGCAGAATAAGGACATTTGGCCCATCGAGTGTGCTACAACATTCGATCGTGGCTGTTATGTTTCTCAACCCCCTTCTCCTTGTAATTTGTGATCCCTTATTAATCAATACCTGTCTATCTGTCAAAAACACCAAAAGAACTGCAGATGCTGTAAATCAGAATCAGAAACAGAAACAGAAATTGCTGGAAAAGCTCAGCAGCGCTGGCAGCATCTGTGGAGAGAAATCAGAGTTAACTTTTCGGTTTGAGTGACCCTTCCTCAGAACCAGGGATCCTTCCTCAGCTCTGAGGAAGGGTCACTCAACCTGAAATGTTAAGTCTGATTTCTCTCCACAGATGCTGCCAGAGCTGCTGAGCTTTTCCAGCAATTTCTGTTTTTGTATCTATCTATCTCTGCCTTAAAGACACTCAATGACTTGGCCTTCACAGCCCTCTGTGACAATGAGTTCCACAGATTCGCTACTCTCTGCCTGAAGAAATTCCTCCTCATCTCAGTTATAAAGGGTCATCCCTTCACTCTGACTAGATTACCCAAGATTATTCTTGTTAGCGAAGAGTCAGGAAAGTAGTGTTGAGAATTATCAGATTAGCCGTGATCTCGTTGAATGGCCCACTTCTGCTCCTTTATCTTGTAGTCTTCTGGCCAACCCATTTATTCAAAGCTTGAATAATGGAAGTTAGATAGTTAGGAATGATGTTCCCTTGTTATAAATTCTCAGTTGGTAGAGGTGAAATGTGTTTTTCGGGAGTGAGGAAGACCACCTGTGGTATGCTGCAATTGTTTTGATTGTGAAACTTAATAACTTGCTTCTCATTTTAGGAAACCACATACGTGTGGAAGGAGCCGAAGGTGTGCAACAAAGGAGTCAAACTTCCTGAAAAAAGAATCACCAACTGTGAGATGATAGATTTTTGGTTGAAAGTTGTTGTTGGAATTGGAGCTTTTACTGCAGTGTTGCTGGTAATATTAACCTGCTATTTCTGGAAAAAGAACAAGAAGTAAGTTCACAAAGAAGTAAGATGAATGTGCAGAGATCTGAATGTTTTAGAATAAATGATGTTTATTTCTAAACAAATGTAATTTATTTAGTTTTTCATAAGGTCATTATGCTGGAACTGTATAAAATGTTGGCCAGGCTACAGCTAGAACATTGTGTTCAGTTCTGGTCTCGGCACTATAGGAGGGATGTGACAGCACTGGAGGGGGTACAGAGGAGATTCACCAGGATGTCCCCTGGGCTGGAGACTTTCAGTTATGAAGAGAGATTGGACAGACTGGGGTTGTTTTCTTTAGAACAGAGGAGATTGAGGGGGAACATGATTGAGATGCGTAGTGTGATGAGGGACATAAGGACAAATAAAGAATCTCAGTGGAGGTATCAATGACCATAGCATATTTATTTAAGGGATTAGAGAGGATGTGAGGAAATGTTTCTCATCGAGAGTATAGTGGGTATCTGGAACTCACTGCCTGTAAGGGTGGGAGAGGCAGAAACCTTCATCACATTTAGAAGTATTTGAGCTTGTGATACCAAGGCATTCAAAGCTGTGGGCCAAGTGCTGGAAAGTAGGATTAGAATAATTAGGTGGATGTTTTGACCAGCACGGACTTGATGGGTCGAAGGGTCTTTTTCTGTGCTATTGACCTCTATGAATCTATGACATAGGAGTTTTAAGCATTGGGAGAGAGTATTCAAAAGTTAAATGCTACGTGGGTGTTAGATCAGCACTTCAACACAGTTTCATTTCAGCCTCATGAGCATCCCCAATTTTAATCACTGGCCGATTGGTGGCTGTACCTTCTAGTTGCCTAGACTCTAAGCTCTGGAATTTCTTCATCAAACCTTTTTACCTTGCTTTCTTCCTTTAAACCACTCGCCAAAATCAACCTCTTTGACCAAGACTTTGGCTATCTGCGCTGATATCTAGTGACATGACTCAATTTCCTTATTCTCCTGTCAATCACCTTTGCACTTTTTATTAAGTTACAGGTGATATATAAATACTTGTTTATGTTTTTTTACATTAACAAGAAATTTGGCAACAAGAAGTACTTGTGAACGAACAAAAACAGAGATTGCTGGAAAATCTCAGCAGGTCTGGCTGCATCTGTGGGGAGAAATTAGGGTTAACGAGTCAGGTCTGGTGCCCCTTCATGAGAACTGATGGTAGCTGGGAAAAGGATGATTTTTATACAGGATTTGGGTTGGGGAGAGTGGGGACAGTAGGCGATCGGTGGAGATAGAGCCCAAAGAGAGAAAAACAATTGTACAAAGGAATGGTTAAAGGTCAGTCTGGGACTATGAGTAGCTGACAATGGGTTGTGTGTGGAAGCAGCGCATGTGATGACAAGGCCTGGTGAGTAGGTTGGGGGAGAGTTTGGGGAAAGGTTCTCAAGCCCTAAAATTGTCGAACTCGATATTGAGTCCAGAAGGTTGCAGGGTCCCCAGGTGGAAAATGAGGTGCTGTTCTTCCAGCTTGCGCTGAGCTTCTCTGGAGCAGTGCTGCAAGCCTGAGAGATGTTGGCCAGAAAAAAGGGTGGTGTGTTGAAGTGGCAGGCATCTGGAAGCTCAGGGTCTTTTTATTTGTGGACAGACTGTGAAGCTGTCACCCAGTCTATGCTTCGTTTCCCCAAATGTAGAGGAGACCACATTGTGAGCAGCGAATGCAGTAGACGAGATTGTGGGAAGTGCAGGTGAAGTGTTGCTTCACCTGGAAGGTATGTTTGGGCCGTTGGACACTGGGGAGGGAGGAAGTAAATGGCCAGGTGTTACACCTTCGCCGGTTACAGGGGAAGGTGCCATAGGGATGTGGAGGGGGGTGTTGGGAGTGAAGGAAGTGTGGACCAGGGTGTCCTGGAGGGAACGGTCCCTGTGGAAGGCGGACAAGGGAGGGGAGGGGAATATGTGCCTGGAGGTGGCAGTACTGGTGGCTGATGATCCTCTGGATGTGAATGCGGGTGGGATGGTAGGTGAGGACAAGGAGGATCCTATTGCTGTTGTGGGAGGGAAGAGAAGGAGTGATGACTGAAGTGCAGGAAATGGGTTGGACCCGGCTGAGTCCCCTGAGGGGAATCCTCGGTTGAGGAAGAAGGTGGACGTTCCGGAGGCTCCCCTTCCATTTCTGACTCCTCCCTTACCTTCCTCAACATCTCTGTTTCCATATCTGCGGATAGGCTGGCCACCAACATCCACTACAAACCCACTGACTCCTACAGTTACCTTGTCTATACATCCTCACACCCTGCTTCCTGTAAAGACTCTATTTCACTCTCCCAGTTCCTCCGTCTCTGTCACATCTGTTCTGATGATGCTAACTCTGATAAGGAGGATCTATTTATTCCCCTAGACTGACCTTTAACTGATTCTTTGTCTGTCCAATTGTTTTTCTCTCCATTTGGGCTCCATCTCCATCTATTGTTCACCCTCCCCCCACTCCATCTTCTCTACATCCTTTTTCTAGCTACTATCAGTTCTGAAAAAGGGTCACTGGCCTGAAACATTAACTCTGATTTTCCTCCACAGATGCTGCCAGACCTGCTGAGCTTTTCCAGCAATTTCTGTTTTTGTTTCAGATTTCCAGCAGCTGCAGTTCTTTTGGTTTTTAGAACTTGTGAGAGAATTGTGTTCCCACCAGCCCCTCCTCATTTCTCAGCCTTGTCTTCCTTTCTCCTTTTAGGCTAGAGTACAAATACTCGAGACTGGTGATGAATGCAAACTCGAGGGAAGTGGAACTTCCTGCAGCTGATAGCTGTGCTATAATGGAAGGCGAAGATAATGAAGATGAAATTGTTTATTCCAATAAACCTTCCTTACTGGGGAAGCTGAAATCATTAACTTCAAAGGTAAGAAGCACCTGTACTCTTTCTAATGTAGTAGGTTTCACTGGTTGTTACAAATACTTCTATAAATGGCAGATTTTGTATAGGTTTCTGCTCATAATGCAAAATATTGAAAAAGGATTGATTCATTTTACAGTTAGTTCATCAGATATAACAATATAGGGATGTGATGGACTAGTGCTAATATCCCTGGGCTAGTAATCCAGAACCCCAGGCTAATGAAATTTAAACTCAAGAAAAATTTGGAATTAAAAGCTAGTCTAAGGCATTAATGAGAGTGCATTTGAAGGATTGCATATACTTTGATCCTCTTACTTTGAGGAGGAATGTAGTTATATTGGAACCAGTTCAAAGGAGCTTCATTAGATTGATTCCAGAGGTGAGGGGCTTGGCTTATGAAGAGAGCTTGAGCAGTTTACGCCTATACTCTCTGGAGTTTGAAAGAATGAGATGAGATCTAATTGAGGTCTATATGATGCTAAAGGGGATTGACAAAGTAGATGTGGAGACGACATTTCCTCACGTGGGGTAATCTAGAATGAGAGGTCATAGTTTTAGGATAAAGGTAACAGATATAAAACAGAGATGAGGAGAAATTACTTCTTTCAAATGTCGTGAATCTGTGGAATTCACTGCCCCAGAGTGCGGTGGATGCTGCAACATTGAGTAAATTTAAGGAGAAGAGAGACAGATTTTTAATTAGTAATAGGTTGAAGAGTTATGGGGAGTGGACAGAAAATGGAAAGTTGAGGCCATTGGTGAGATCAGCCGTGATCGCATTGAATGACAGAGCAGGCTTGAGGGCCTGAATGGCCTACTCCCGCTCCTCGTTTTACTCAATCTCTTATGTTTTACACATATGGAGTTGAAAACAGGGTCAGAGGGTGTGAGGATATTTGAACCAAGGGTTGTGTAAGGGACAGGAGTCAGTGAATGAAGGTTTACAACTGGCAATGATATAAGTGTAGTGGGATGAAGCAGGAGGATGGTATGGCAACCCTGAAAGGGGGATAGGGAAGGGGAGTGGGTGAAGCAATATGGCATGAGACATGAGCAAATCCGAAGTTTTAATATGAAGAAAGTTAAACTCTTTCTTCCTATTAGTTGGGTTTAGTTTTAATTTGTACTGTTTTAGTCAAATGGCAACGTATGCTGTAATTAAATCACCAGGAACTGAATCTGATGAATAATCTTTTATAATTTTTCTTACGCAAGGACAAAGAAGATATTTTTGAGTCTGTTCAACTCAAGTCACCAAGAGCTCGCAATATATGAAGATGGAAAGTTGGTTACAGAAACGTTGGCAGTAATCCCTATTACAAAACACACAGACGTGTACCAGCTTGAACCATGAAGACATCTCAAGTACTACTGTACCTGAAATACTACTGAAAAGAAACATTTGCAAACAGTCACTGTTTGATTGCCTTATTGTGCCAGTTGTAGGGAGTATCAGACATGAGTCGCCAAATGTAATGAACATGCTGGTTGCCAAACTGACAACATAAATCTCAGGAAGACCTTATGTTCATTCTTCTTACTAACTCACCAATATAATTGGACATTTTAACACATTTATTTTTCTTCTACCATTTGTGCTGTTGCAGGGATATTTTTCTTTTTTCCCCTTGTTTCTCTCTGCAGTTAACTGCATTACTTTATTTCCTAGATTTTCAATGTAGCTGTGTACTGCAAAAGTAGGTTCCATAATTTAAAATGATAGATTTAATCTGTGAATTATATTTATAGTGTGCAAATCAGCAGGTAAGCCAATGATGAAAATAATCTTGTAACGTTTACAAGACAGTGAATATCACATGATTTTAAAAGAAATGAAAAGCCCTCTAACACCATCCCATCTTGTCTTGTCTGCTGGATGAAACTCTTTGTACTGGAAAGCTTAAACTTTGTGGAGTGTGCATTGAACATGATTCAGTCTGTGTGCCATTAGAGAAAATGAATACTTGTTGCAAATACCTAACAGACTGTTTAAAGTGTGGGTGTTGGGCTGTGATAGCTGGTGCTAAGTCATGTCTTCACTGGCAATGGTTTTAATTGGCACTTGCTCATTGTACCCCCATGTGGCTGATCTGAGGTGTAGCCAGTTCAGGGTGCTCCCTGAATGTCATTTTACGTGTTAATTCAGTAATGTTTACTATAGATGCCACAAAGCGGCATGCCCGAATACATTGTGTTCATTATTTTCAATTATTGAGAATGGAAATATGATGCAGTAGAATTAATCAGTTTTAATGTAACATTCAAACACTTACCTGTTTTTGGCACAATGAAACACAGGCTTGTAGCTCTTTGAGAAAAGTTGCTGAAATAAGAACTGAATTTTTATGCTTTGTCTGATGTAATAGTGATTGCTGTTAGAAAGCCCTAAGGGTTGGGGCAGGATGTTGCAAGGATGGAATAAGGTTCTGTATTAGGCATTGGACTGTGTTGCCAAAGGGAGCAGAAAAACAGTCACATTTTCAAAATTCAATACATAAAATGTGTATTGAATGAAGCTATTTCTATATAGATTGTGTAAGAATTGATCTGTGTGTTAAATTATAGAAGTTAAACGTTAAGGAAAGTTTAATAAATAATTTTGCTACAACAGGGAACTGCTTAATAACTGAAGAAAGGTTCTGAACAAGTTGTATCAGACTTAAAACGTTAACTCTGTTTTCTCTCCACAGATGCTGTCAGACCTGCTGAGTTTCTCCAGCAATTTCTCTTTTTTTCATATTTCCAGCACTGTTAACTGGAAGTGCCCAGGAAAGATCTTCTACACAGATTGTTCCTGCCAACAACCATCAGGTGGCAGCGAGAACAATTAAAACCATTTGCAAGTGTTAGTGAGCGAAAGTATTAAACAAGTCTTACTTCATCAAAGTACTAATCAACACTACCCCTTTTTCCTCCAGATCTGGTGATGTTATGTTATCTTTACCAGTCGGGCTTATATTATCACAAACTTGTCAATCAAATCAAAGTTTTGCTTCTCTCATGAGCAAGGCAGAAGAGTCACAAAGCATCCTTCAGGTGACTGAAGGTGACCACAGATACCTTTTTACTTTTATAAAAAAAAACAATCTCAACTAGCCAGACCAAATATCCTTTCCAAGGCAGTGCTGTTTTGCAAATTCAGAGGGAAAGACCTTGTCTTTTGATCTTTAGTTCTGAAGCCTGTACTGTTTATGATAATAAATGAATTAGTGATTTGAATTTTTGAAACTGTGAAGTGGGGGTGCAATTTTTGATATAAACATGAGGGTGAAATGTTCCTTTGTAATTTTATGTTTGTTGCAGTTGTGGATGGACTGGTTACTGAGAACACAGTGCTGCAGGATTCCCATTACGTTAAGTCAAGGGGCATTTTATTTAGGCATTACAGTGAACTATAAAATTATATACACAAAGATATTTTAGTTGTATGAATGTCTTTTGACCAAGGGAGAGGTGTTTTATTTGCTATGGATTTTTGTTATTTAATAATCAGCTAATTTAACTGTAAAACAGAACTGGAAGATTCAGAGTTTAGAAAAGTGATTTGAAACTAATGAGCAAACATATCAGCACACTTAGAAAATTGGAAATGAAGAATGATATTTTGATTAATGCCGTGCATTGTTACTCTAATGCACATAATTGACTTTTAGTAAAGCAGTTTAGTTAGATATTAATTGCAAAAGATAAAGTAAAACTCATTTGGCTAGATGGCTGGTTTGCAATACAGAATGACAACATAGGTTCAATTCCTATGCTGGCTGAGGTTACCATAAAGGACTCTCCATCTTAACCTCTCCCTCTCTGATGAGGGAGCAGCTGTATGGTCCAGGAAGACTCTAGTGACTTTACAAAGGTAGTTTTGATCTGTGCACAACCATAATTTGACACAAGAGGGCAGTGTTTCCACAGTGGAGGTGACTGGTGTTTGGAGTGTACAGTATACTGTATCTAAAAATATGTTCTTTTGGCTAATTGTTCCCTGTCTCCTTACCTTCTCCCTGAGTTTCTGCTCAAACCCGTTTTCATTTTGATCTGTGTGACATCTACATCGAATCAGTAGCTGGGCAACATTTTTAAAACATGGTTATTTTTTCTGATGAAGGGTCTAGGCCCGAAACGTCAGCCTCTCTGCTCCTATGATGCTGCTTGGCCTGCTGTGTTCATCCAGCCCTGCACCTTGTTGTCTTAAATTTTTAAAAATATTGTTTTCAAACAATATTCCTTAATGTGCTTGATAATTTCAAAAACTTTAATTAATACACTTCAAAATAGATTTATTGCAAAAAATAAGCATTTTGACTCACAACATCAGTCCAACTGTAATTTTAAATATCTACATGTACTTTTAAAATATATACAGAGCTATTTTGTAAATTGGGGCAATCAGTTGTTTTGAAATTCTTTTTTTTAAAATTCAAACCCTTTTGTAACTTACCTAATAGTCACTTTACACCCAAAGGTTCCAGTGAATTCATGGAGCCTACTCAAGATTGATAACTGGGTGCAGTGGGTGGAATCTTGGCAGGGTAATTTAACTCCTATTGGGGGCATGATCCTCCTTTTGGGCCATATCTGGTTCCAGTGTGGAGCTTTTTTAAAACCAGCACAATATTTTGGGGAAGCTTAAGTTACACTTGAAATTTCACAAACCTTTACACTATATTGTGCAGATATTGCAGGTAATAGCACGGATAAAAATGGTGAGGGTAATTGGAGAGTCCAGGTCAGCAACATTACATAAAACTCTTTTATCAGTTCGATTTTTTTTTTGAAGTTGCGTGCTTAGTTATAATAAATCAGTTTTCTTCTGAATATTACTCACACTGTTAGATTCTTGTTGCTTTAAGTCCACTGCTGGTCATTTTTTCCAAATACAATGAAGCATAAATATATAGAGAAAAAAAGTTTTTTTTTATGAAGCACAGTTGTATGACACTATGTTTAGAGACAAAGGTTATACCATTTAAAATTCCTTCCACATGTTGTGCATTCTAGTTTATTTTTGAGAATGGGTGCATTGTTTGTATATTTTGGAGCCATGCATTATGTGTTTTTTTTTCGCTGAGCTGTACACTCTTTGTTAGCCAAAATGATCATGGTCTTTGGTGTCACCTTTCTTAAAATAAACGTGAGCAGTTTTGGGAATTTTTGGTGACTCATATTCTGTTCTTTAAGTTGAAAGAAGTACAAAATGGTGAGTGACTGATATCACATTGTCTCTGCACTGTCCACAATCAAATAGGGCAGCAGAATAGATTTTTAAACTACTCTCGTGGGAAGTTCTGGCTGAGTCAGCATTTATGTCCGTCCCTGGTTTCCCTTCAAAAGCTGGTTGGGAGCTGCTTCCTTGAACCGCTGTAGTCCATGTGCAGTAGTTGACCTACAGTGGCCTTGGGGAGGGAATTCTAAAATTTTGGAACCCAGCAACAGTGAAGGAATGGCGGTATATTTCCAAGTCAGAATAATAAGTGGCTTGGAGGGCAATTTGAAGGTGGTGGTGTTCCCATGTATCTGCTGTCCTTGACCTTCTACATGGATATGATCATGAATTTTGTACAGTACGTGCTATCAAGCCAAAGATCTGATCATTACATTTCAAGTGACAAAACAAGATTTTCACATTGCATTGCTTCATTTTGTAGTCATAGAAATCCACAGCATAGAAAAACACCCTTCAGCCCAAAAACATTCACCTAACTATTCTAATCCCATTTTCCAGCATTTGGCTCATAGCCTTGTCTGCCTTGGCATTGCAAGTGCACATCTAAATACTTCTTCAATGTGATGAGGGTTTATACCTCTACCCACCCTTACAAGCAGTGTGTTCCAGATTCCCACTAGCAGCATGTTGCTGGGAATGCAGGGTTTGGGGTTTAAATAAAGGCTGGATAGCTGGGACTTTTTGCACTGGACCTGAGAGATGACCTTGTAGAGGTTTATAAAGTCATGAGGGGTTTGAATAAGGTGAATGACAGGTTTTTTTTCCCTAAGGTGGGGGATTTCAAGACTCAGGGCATATTTTGAAGGTGAGAGGAGAAAGATATAAAAAACACAAGGGACAATTTTTTTTAACTGAGTGGTTCGTGTTTGGAATGAATTTCCTAAGGAAGTGGCGGATGCAGGTACAGTTACAACATGTAAAAGACATTTGGATAAGTACGTGAAAAAGAAATATTCAGAGGGATGTGGGCAAAGTGCAGGTAGATGGGTGTTAAAATTGAGTCAGAGATAGTAGGAACTGCAGATGCTGGAGAATCTGAGACAACAAGGTGCAGGGCTGGATCAACACAGCAGGCCAAGAAGCATCATAAGAGCAGAAAGGCTGACGTTTCGGGCCTAGACCCTTCATCAGAAAAGGGGAAGGGGAAGGAGGTTCTGAAATAAATAGGGAGAGAGTGGGAGGCGGATAGAAGATGGATAGAGGAGAGGATAGGTGGAGAGGAAACAAACGGGTTGAAGAGGAAGAGATTATGAGAGAGTTGCAGTGGGAGAGAGATCCCCTGAGGTTTGTCCGGAGGGAGGAGGGTAACTTCTTCAGGCTAGGCATCCTTAGAAGAGGCTTCCTCTTCGACCTGTTTGTTTCCTCTCCACCTATCCTCTCCTCTATCCATCTTCTATCCGCCTCCCACTCTCTCCCTATTTATTTCAGAACCCCCTTCCCCTCCCCCTTTTCTGATGAAGGGTCTAGGCCCGAAACGTCAGCCTTTCTGCTCCTATGATGCTGCTTGGCCTGCTGTGTTCATCGAGCCCTGCACCTTGTTGCAGGTAGATGGGATTAGTTTGTTTTGGGATTATGTTCAGCATGGGCTGGTTGGACCAAAGGCTCTGTTTCCCTGCTGTGTGACTTTATGACCCTGAGTGAAATGATGTTTCCTGACATCTCCTGTAAACCTTCTATCCCTTACCTTCAATCTTATGCCCCTGGACATTGATCGCCTCACCATGGGAGAGATTACTTCTTGGCCACCCTGTCTACCTCCCTCATAATTATATACACCTCAATCATGTCCCCCTCAATCTCCTCTGCCTGAAGGAAAACAACCCCAGTCTGTCCAATCTCCCTTCATCATTGAAACTCTTCAGCCCAGGCAACGTCCTGGTAAATCTAGATAACACAGTGTGGAGCTGGAGGAACACAGCAGGCCAGGCAGCATCACAGGGGCAGGAAAGCTGACGTTTCAGCTTGGGACCCTTCTTCAGAAATGGGGGAGGGGGAATGGAGCTCAGAAATAAATAGAGAAGGGGGTGTAGGGCTGGATGCAGGTAGGCAGGGGTTGGTCAGTGAAGTGGGAGGAGTGGATAGGTGGGAGAGAAGATGGACAGGTTGTGTCAGGTCAAGGAGGCAGGGATGACAGAGAGGGTTGGCCGTGGGATGGGGCGGGGGGTGAAGAGATTTTGAAACTGGTAAAGTCCACATTGAGACCATTGGGTTGTAGGCTCCCAAGGAATATGAGGTGCTGCTCCTCCAGTTTTTGAGTGGAGTCATTGTGACACTGGAGGAGGCCCAGGATGGACATGTCACCCAGGGAGTGGAAGGGGGGAGTTGAAGTGGTTCGCAACTGGAAGGTGTTTTGTTGCGAACAGAGCGTAGGCGCTCTATAAAGTGGTCTCCGAGCCTCCACGTGGTCTCACCGATGTAGAGGAGGCCACGTCGGGTACAGTGGAGGCAATAGACCACATTGACGGTCACCAGAGATGGAGACAGAGAGGCCCAGGAAGGAGACAGAGGTAAGAGAGATGGTCCAGGTTAATTTGAGGTTGGGGCGAAAGGTGTTAGCAAAGTTGATGAACTGTTTAAGCTCCTTGTGGGAGCACAAGGCAGCGCTGATACATGTAACCTCCATTCAAGGAACCAAACAAATCTTCCACATCAGACAGATGTTCACCTGCACATCTGCTAATGTGATATATTGTGTCTGCTGTTCCCGAAGTGGCCTCCTCGACATCGGTGAGACCAAGCTGAGGCTCGGAGACTGCTTTGTAGAGCACCTACGCTCGGTTCGTGACAAACGACAACACCTTCCGGTTGCGAACCATTTCAACTCCACCTCCCACTCCCTGGATGACATGTCCATCCTGGGCCTCCTGCAGTGTCACAACGATGCCACCTGGAAACTGGAGGAACAACGCCTCATATTCCACCTCGGGAGCCTGCAACCCAATGGTCTCAATGTGGACTTTACTAGCTCCAAAATCTCCCCACCCCTGACCTCATCCATGACCAACCCTCCCTCTCATCCCCGCCTCCTTGACCTGTCGTCTTCTCTCCCACCTACCCACTCCTCCACCCCACTGACCAATCCCCACCTCTGCCTACCTGTTCTCACCTATCACCAATCCACCCACCTTCCCTAGCCCCACCCCTCCTCTTTCTATTTATTTTTGAGCTCCCTTCCCCCTCCCCATGCCTGATGAAGGGTCCTTAGCTGAAACGTCAGCTTTCCTGCTCCTCTGATGCTGCCTGGCCCGCTGTGTTCCTCCAGCTCCACACTGTGTTATCTCAGACTCCAGCATCGGCAGTTCTTACTATCTCATCCTGATAAATCTCCGCTGCACCCTCTCCAGTGCAAGCACATCCCTTTGTGAATGTGGTTTTGAGAACTGCACGTAGTACTCTAGTTCTGACCTAACCAACTTTGTTTCACAATTTTATTTATTATTTTACAGAATGTGGGTGTCACTTTTTGGACCAGCATTATGGCCTGTCCTTAATCATCCAGAGGGCAATAAGGAGTCACCCACATTTCTGTGGGTCTGGAGTCCGACAGTGTAGGTCAGACAGTGCAAACAGGTTTTCTTCCCTAAATGATATATTCGTCCCTAAATGACCCAGTAATCGAATTTGGGATTTAAACCCCAGCCCTCATAACATGGCATGGGTCTCTGGATGAAGAGTCTAGTGATAGCACCACTAGGTCATCATCTCATCTACAGCATAACCTTCTTGTGTTAAACTCTAAGCCTTGGCTAATGAAGCCAAGTATCCCATATGCTGCCTTAACTGCTTTATCCACTTGTTCTGCCACCTTAAGGGACAGGTGGACTAAATGGATTTTTGCAACAATCAACAATGGTTTCATGGTCATCATTCGACTCTTAATTCCAGTTTTTCTTTTATTGAGTTCAAATTCCACCATCTGCCATGGCAGGCTTTGTAACCAGATGCCTAGAATGTTACCTGGGTCTCTAACGGTCTAGGATTAATGCAACTTGGCCATTGCCACCTTTCTCTATATTTTTCATTTCCTCTAATATTTCGCAGTGGTCCACCTTGATGTCTATATCTCCATCGTTCCTTTCCATTGTGAAGATGAATGTAAAGAATTCACTGTGGAATGTATCCACATCTTCCAGGTCCACAATGCTCCCTAATGGGCTTTACTCTTTCTCTAGTTATTCTCTTGCTCCTTAAATGTTAAAAAACACTCCTGTGCATTTTCCTTTATTTAACTTGTCAATGCTTTCTCATGTACTCAATTAGCTTCCCAATTTTTGGTTATAATTTCCCCCTCTGCTTTTATATTCTCCTCTAGGATCATAAACACCCCTTGGTATCTGCCTTACACTTCTCTTTTATTCCTCATGCTAAACATATGTTCCTTGATGTTGCTGGTTTCTTGTCTTGGTCTCACCCTTTATCTTTACTGGCACACATTTGCCCTGTACTGTCACTATGTCCTATATGAATGTTTCTCATGGCCCTGACACTGCTTTACCTGCAAGTTTTCCCCAGTTTAGAACTCTAAATATCTGCCTGTTTTATCATCTTCCATAACTAGCCTAAATCTGAGTTCTGTCCTTGCTGCAATTGTACGGGGCCATGGTGAGACCACACCTGGAATACTCTGTGCAGTTTTGCTCTCCTTACCTGAGGAAGGATGTTCTGGCTACAGAAGAAGTGTAATGAAGATTTACCAGACTGTCTCTTGGGATGACAGGACTGATGTCCTGATGAAGGGAGACTTGATTGGTTAGGGTTATATTCACTGGAGTTTAGAAGAATGAGGGGAAATAATATAAACAATTGGTAATGTAGTTGTGAGAGACCCCTTGGGATTAATGACCATAATATGATAGAATTCTTCATTAAGATGGAGAGTGAGGTAGTTGATTTTGAGACTATGGTCCTGATTCTTAATAAGGGAAACTACAGTGGAATGAGACGTGAAGTTGGTAATGAT